ATCTTGGTCACTATCAACCATCAAGGAGAGACCAAGATATAATAAAGGGTAAGAAAACTAATAATATATAAAGCTTAGGATGGCCTACTGGCTCATCCGGCTAGATAGAGTCCTGATCAGTAGACTTTACGGCTCTCTATGCCGTTTGCGAAGTCTCTCACTAAACCTTGTCGGCTCACTTAGATACCTTCCACCATACCCCTATTGAGCCCAACCACCTCTAGTAGAAAGCGATTCTTCCCTTCGATCAGGATTCTAAGGAGGCTGAGAAGGATTTCGAGAGTGATCAGACCATACAATGCTACTCTAAGGAGATTAAGGTATAAGGGATAAAACAGAAGCTCCCATAGCCCTAGATCCTTGCCTTTGCTAAGCCCTTAAATCTTGGGCCCTATTCTACTCTTCTTTCTTCTATGCCAGATTAGGATAAGTCTCTCTGATGATCAGTCCTTATTCCCTTTTATAATTAGCCTAGCCTATCCATCCAGCCTTATATGATGGTGATAAGTGGGCATTAGGTTTAAGGTGATGATCATAAGTAGGGTGTTTCTTGATCGGTGGTTTATCATCCGGCTATGGTACTTAAGGCCTAGTAGGAATCTATTTCCGCTGATTATTACTAGGTTACCTTCGAGAAATAAGGAGTCGACTTGATGATATAGCTTGATTGCTCATTCGGGTATAATATTCGGATATACTTCCTCCACTTAAGCTATTATGAGAAGGGACTCTACTACCACCTAGATCCACAGAGCTGACTCTATTACTTAAAGCCTTCATCTCTTCCTTTATCAAATCGCCCTTTATATTCATAAAAAGGGTCCCTTGACTATGTTAATGAACCTTAGTCTTATTGTTAGCTCTATCTTTCAACAATTGATTGAAGATATCTTTTCAAGGATTAGATATCTCCTTTAACTCGTCAGAGTCAACCTTTACATTTATCTTCAAAATATGGTCGCTATATTCTACCTTGGCTTTAGATCCTTCTATAGCGACAATAGAGTTCGAGACTCTAAAGATCCAATCCTCCTAAGTGTCATTGATTTAAGGAGCTTTAGGCATACGTAAGGCTATCCCGTTTCCAATCTCTTTCCTAATCATGATAATCTAAAGCTCCTACATTAGGTCTTAAGAGTCAGAACCTTCACGACCCTTATAGACTTTCAAGTCTGTCTAATCAATAGCTAGCTTAGTATAGTGAAGGTGTTATTCCCTAAGGAATATCCGTACATTTTCAAGCAGAAAGAGACTATACTCTCAGTAGGCTCTCTAAGTAGTGATCTATACTGACTGTATTGTCAAAGCCTTATGGGTTAGAACCGATATCTCTTACTCTTTTAGCCAGTCCTCTAATAGTTCTTCCGCCCATCATATATATCGAGCCGAAGATCCCCTAAGGAAAGAGTCGAAAAAGTAGGCATTATGGTGAGCCTGATCATAGATATCTAAACACTAATGATTATGCTAATATAGCGGGTATATAAGAAATCAGCAAGTTCAGATAAAAGAGATATTGTCTTCAGTCATAGAGAATTGTTTCATCTTTAATTCCTATATAACAGTAGTCGGAATCCATACTCAAGTGAGGATATCTTAACATTCTATAAGTAGCCTAGCCCTAATCACCTCCTAGATAAGCCACTCGTTCCTCATTAAGTACCCTTCTAGGTTATAGAGCTCCAGCATATAGGTAAGGATAGGAACAAGGCCTAGCTTCATTTGAGTAACTAAGGCGTTTGATCCATTATACCCTATCTACACACTTTAAGGCTTAACATACGAGAAGTATTGTACGAACATCTCTAGCGTATACTCTCTAGCTAGCATAAAGAAATAAGCCAGTCGACTGATCAGGTTGATCTCCTTAATAAAAGGGAATACTTTAGCTCTTATATTCATAATTCTATAAGTTTAACTAACCCCTTTGATTAGCATCCTTAGCCAAGCCTAAGAGATATTTACGGCAGTATCTTCTCATTAACTTAGTAAAGAAGGTGTAGGATCAGCTCCCCTTTGATTAGTAAGACTGATATAGCTTATAGCGGCTGACCAAGCCAGTTGACCAAGCCTCATAAAGCTATTCCAATCAACAGGTGGCTCAACAGACGGTAGCCTCCCAGTCGAACTAGAAGGTCCTATAGACGTAGGAGAAGGAATAGTAGCATTACTCCATAGCCTAAATCTGATAGAAGCCTCAGGATTCCACATATTATCATCCCCTACAAAA